TCTACCTACCTACCTACCTATTTATATATCTATCATCTATCTACCTACCTACCTATTTATCTACCTATCTATCTATCATCTATCTATCTATCATCTATCTATCTATCCATCCATCCATCCATCCATCCATCCATCCGTCCGTCCATCCATCTATCATCCACCACCCATGCATGCATGCCTCCATCTACCTTTCTTTCTCTTGAATTTCTCTCCTGGGGGTTCTGGTCCCCTAGTATAAGGTACTTGGGCATGCTTCTCCTTGGGAGGGCTGCAGCTTAGCTGAACTTTGTCCTAGATTTTTCTCAGCCAGTCTGTGGGCTCAGCATTAGTTTTCTTGGGAGGCGTGGTTCCTGGGTGAGGGCAGGACACATTGCCAATCCAGAGGGGCTGTCCATGGGTGTCACCTTAACTGTCAGAGCATATCCCACCCCATCCACTCCCTGTTTTATTCTCTTGTGATGACGGGGGAGTGAGCCCAGGGCCTTGCAAGCGCTGAGCCAACACTCTATCACTGTGGTATAAACTACAGACAATCTTTATGGTTGACGAGTTATCAATGAATGTAATTGCTCTGTCGCAAAGCCCTTCTCCTGTGCCCTGGGCTGTGTGAGGCACACATCAGAGGCGATTTTGTTAATCCTCAGGTCAGTGAAGAAGGTGCATTTGCTATCTGCACTCAGGCTGAGATGGAAAACATTTTGTTAAGAAGCTCTCTGCTTGATTTTAAATAGCAACCAGAGGTCTAAACAGGCGGTGTGGAGGCTGTACTGCAGATGTCTTATCTTTGACCTCCACGGTGTGTAAACAAAGTAGCCGGCCATGAAAAAGGAAAGATGTCACATGTGGATGCTGATTGCTAGTTAGTGGGAGGTGAACCGCAGCTGTCTTTAGAAGGGCACCCTCCGCTTCCCCCCACCCCCACATTTTGTGATTGCCCATTTCCTGCCTGACCTCTGCTGGTCAATCCAGTCAACCCTGGCTACACACCAGAATCCCCGAGGAGCTTAAAAAACATTCCGAATTTAATGGTCTGGAAGAGACTCAGACATGCTAGCTTTTCCAGCCCCAACTCTAGGCTGAGATGGCTCTAATTCACAGCTAGGCCTGAGAATCACGACTATAAACCATTTTGCAAGTTTTGGTCTAAACCATAGACCTTGAGTGCTGGCTGCTTTACTTCAAGGCTCCGTCTCGCTGGCCAGAGTGGTATGATTTTTTTTTTTTTTTTTTTTTTTTCTCACGACCTTGTACACAGAGGACTTAGAGAGACTCTGTCCTTCTGGGACCTTGAAGGTAAATGCAGTGGCTGTGAGGAAAGATACCTTGGCCTCCGGCCATCTTTTAACCGCTTCCACCAGAGACACAGCTGAAACAGTCTGTTCTGTTCTGCTTGAGACCACTTCTCAGATTCCATTGGCACTCTTTCCTTCAAGTCTGGCCTCCAGGGTGAAGGGCGAGCTTGTCTTGCCTCTTTCTGTGGCTGGGTGTCCCATTTCTTAAGTGAACTAGAATTGGCATTGCCCAACATAGGTAAGGTGACTACCTTCCTGCAAGCATGACATTCACGTAACCCATTTGTCCCTGGCTCTGAATGTCTAAAGCAATTAAAGAGTTTATCGACCTTTCACACACATCTGTGGGACTTGTGTTTTTCCTGATCCGTTTCCCCACAGGTTTGGCCACCAGCCCAAGCCTCAGTGTAGGTGCACAGGTCGGGAGGAGGTTGCTGCTGGTATTGGGGTCTCCTGAAGGGCCACCTCACTGCAAAGTCCGAGACCACCCATGGGTGGGTACAGAGGAAGAAGAAAGGCTTTCCTGCCCCTCCCTTCACACTCCCTCCCCCATTCCACTGCCTCCCACCGTCTTGGTTGTCTGAGAGGTCTACATGTGGGGGGTGGAGCTGGAAGAACTCCATGGACACATATTCCTGTACCACCCGCTGATGGTGAATGGTCGCCATGGTCACAGCAGGCTTGGACCACAGAGGATGTGGCCACTGAAGATAAGGCTAAGGGATTAGGAGAGATAGTCAGAGGTGTGTGTGTGTGTGTGTGCGTGTGTGTGCGTGCACACACACACATTTGTGGTGTGTCTACAGAAACAAGGGAAAGGGAACGCACAGCAAAGGAAAACCGTCAGGCAGTGGGCCTTTACTCTCTGGCCTCTCTTTTCTTTGCTTCCCATTTATTTTTCCCTGACAGGTTATAAGGACTATTGGGCTTATCCCTTCACCCAGCAACACCAACAGTCCCAGGTTCCTGGATAGGGAGCAGATGGGGCTTAAATTTACCCAGATAACTGAGCATGGCTCATAGGGAGCTGGGGTACCCGTTGGGGTGCATGGGAGGGGAAGACAGCGCTGGCCATTTCATGAGGAGGGAATGAAGTCAGGCCAAAGGAGGGATTCCTGACTATACCACTCTGAGGTGGGCCTTTCAAAGAAGTTGATCAGCTTTCCTTTCTGGGTCCTGGGGACGTGTGGTATTTGGCATGGTGAGGCAGGTGACTGCATTTCCACAGCTCTGTTTTTACTTGTCACAGGACAAAGGCAGAGGCTTAGCTTTTATTTCTTATACTTCTTTTGAACCAGTAGTTTAATATATTAAAAAACATAAGATGCCATATACACTTTTTTCCCATCTCCCAGTCTTCCATAGAGGGACCAGTGTGTCGGTGAATGGACGGACACACCTGTCTCCTAGTTAATCTGCTTGGTGGCCTTTTTTGTTTTGTTTTGTTTTGTTTGTTGAGACAGGGTTTCTCTGTGACTTTGGAGCCTGTCCTGAAACTCGCTCTGTAGACCAGGCTGGTCTTGAACTTACAGAGATCCACCTGCCTCTGCCTCCCGAGTGCTGGGATTAAAGGCCTGTGGCCTGGAGGCTCGGCGGCCGCGGCAGTAGGACGGACAGCCTCCTTCATTGCAGCAGCGGGCATGGCTCATCACCCTTTCCTCCGATGCAGCCCCTTGGCGGTGGCGGTGGCGCGGCTTTCTTAGGCTCTCGTTTCAGCTTGGTGGCACACAGCTTGGCCATGGGAGTTGGGGGAGGGAAGCCAGCTGGGGGCAGGAATGGATGGAATGCTGGGAGCCAGGCCTGGGGGAAGCTGAGGTGGCGGAGCCAGGAGTCCGTTTCCTGTGCCTCACGGTTGAGCTGTCTCTTTCTCCCTGCTGCAGGCTAGGGCTTCTTTGAGCTGAGGGGCCCAGAGTCGCTGTCCCTGCTCAGGCACGTGAGGGCCTACAGCAGGACAGGGGTGGGGGCAAAGCCAAGGGCCTCTGTCTCCCCAGGACTGGGAAGAGGCACCGTGGACCAGTCTTGCACAAACCCTGGGACTACCATTGTGTAGCCCTATGGGGCAGGAGGATGGCATTAGCTCCTTCCTGTTCCCCACTCCAGTCTCTGAAATCTGGGTGGGGGGGGCCCATCCTCTGGGAGGGAAGTCTCTGTGAGCCGGAAGCCCCGCCTTGGACCTGTTGGACCAGTCCACTTACATCCTGTTGGCCTTATGGGGCCCAATAGCAGCTGCGACCCAGACGTTTCCACTGGAAGGCCTGAGCTGAGAGGAGCCCCCCACCCCCAAAGGGACCCAGGGAACTAGATCCTAAGTCATCTGGGACGCTTCTGCTCTGTTCTTCTCCTCTGCTCCTGGGATGAAGCAAATGCAACTGCCAGCCACGGATGGTAAATGCAGGTCACCCCAGGGCAGGCTGCTGGCCAGCCAGCAGGGCTTTCAAAGATTCAACCATGGAGAGGATGGCACCGGGGTCCCAGGGAAAAGAAGGTAACTATCCAGCCAGAGAGGGGTCTGCGTGTGAATGGGAACGTCCCCTTGTTCCACCCCACCTCCCTAGCTGGTAGCCTGCTAGCCACTTTGCCTTTCTGGAAGCTTCGCTTACCCATCTGTGAGGTTCCCTGTGCTGCGGTGTACCTCTGTGGGCTGGGACTGAACACTGATTGAGAACCCTGCGGTATTAATAGGCTGACATTTCAAAGCCAGCCTCATCTATATTCTCAATCCCCACAGGGGCGCCAGAGAGCAAGAGGGCCAACTTTATGCACACGGGCAGAGAAAGGGAGGCACAAACTCCTGGCCTGTAAGGAGGCTGGGGATGGAGGGAACTGGAAAGGACAGACCCGGGACGCTCAGGTTTGCTCAAAATGCTCTGTTTATTGCTTTATTCAATGACCATGAACGAATTATAAAAAGACACCAAATGCCTCTGTTTGCCGTGGAGTAAATATTTAAAGTCAGCAATTAAAAACACGTGGCTCCGAGATAACACACGTTGCCAAAGAGTCATGCACGCCCTGCTCGTGGGCTCTCAACACACACGTGGACACAGGGAACGCACGCAGAGCGACACGCAGCGAGACTTTTGGGCTGTCCCATAGTGACACAGAAAGATGTCTTGCAGGTCTGGAGTTGAGTCCCTACTCTTGGAGGCCCCGCCCCCCAGGGCCCGGCTCTTTGGGGTCCCCCACCTGCATTCATCCTCTCCCTCTACAGTGCCTCGCAGGCTGGCCATGGCCTCCCGAGAGTATCGAGCACTCGGAAGCCAACTAGAGTAATGCCAACCCTTGCCCAGGAACCTTCCTTAGCTGGGCTCTCTCGGTCAACCGTCATGTGCTCCCCTGCCTGGCCTCTGGATCCTATTCCTGCCATCCACATCCTGGTGGCAAAGTGCAATCTGCCTTTTCAGAGGAGCTGGTGGGGCCAGAGGCAGGTACCTCTGCCTTGGGGGTTGGGGGGGGTGGACCGAGGGGCTAGAGCTCAGCTCATTGCTCCTTTCCTGGCTGAGGGGACACAGTGTCTGGTACAGATTAGCAGAGATGGACGGGCAGACAGAACACACAGCGGCGGGACACTTGGGGTGTGGCGTGGAAACGTTTTTGGGCCAGGTAGCAGTGGAACCGTGGTTAAAACTGAGGCCCCAGGTCTGTATGGTGTGGATCAGGCCCCGGGGCCCCAGGCCCGGCCTGGCACATTCCTCCCCTGCCCTCCCCAACTCTGCAGGATGTACAGTAGAAGAGCTAGGCTGGGTGTAGGGACCAGGCCAGGACGACAGAGGGGGAGCGGACTAAGAGAAGGCAGGGTGAGGGGCAGGGACAGGGAGCAGGCCCAGGACCCAAGGCCAGATCTTGGGTTGTTGGCTGGGCAGTGCTCAGAGGGGCTCGGAGGAAGAGCGAGATCACTCTGAGGCCTGGTGGGACAGCTGCTTCTCATACAGGCTCATGACGTGGTGCACAAACTGGTACTGTTCGCATGTCTGGATCATGCCACCCCTGGCCGGTAGAGATGCCGTGGGCTGCGGGAGGGGTCCTCAGACACTAGGGCCACCCGCTATTCTGTAGCTGGGGAGGCTAACTCTTCCCAGCCACTGCCCAGGGAGCTGCCTGCATTCTGAGCTCTCCCGTCCCTTTTCTCTGCTCCCCAGTCCGCCTTGTAGACTACGCCTGCTTTGTCAACTGCCCCGCACGCGCGGCTCATGCACACCATCTCCTCCCCTGACCAGGGCTGACCTGTCCTGACGGAGCTGGCATGTGGTCTTTAGGATGTCCACGATGCCCTCACGTCGCAGCTGCTGGCAGCAGATGCTGGTGGCGATGAAACAGCCAGTCCTCCCGATCCCTGCACTGAGGGTTGAGGGGACACACGGGGTGAGGGGCACAGCAGCAGCCCGGGGGTGGGGGTGGCTCCACCCCAGTGGGTGGGCAGGAAAACCTACCTGCAGTGAACGATGATTGGGGAGCAATGGGGCCCCTCTTGCTGGGCTGCCGCCTCCACCTCCCGTACCAGGTGCAGGAGTGGAGGTGCCCGGTCCGGCGTCTTCTGGTCAGGCCAGGATGTGAACCAGTAATGCTTCAAGCCTCGCTCTTCGGTCCCTCTCTGCGCCCGAGAGAGAGAGAGAGAGAGAGAGAGAGAGAGAGAGAGAGAGAGAGAGAGAGAGTCCTCCCACCCTCCAGATACATGTCAATGTCTCAGGACCCAATTCATGCAAAGATGGAGACGGGAAGGAAGGGAATGGAGGGGTGTGGCGAGGGACCCTTAGTCTCCATCTACCACATTGCCTACCGGCACAAGGCAGATCAGAGTTGTCTTGGTGTGTGTGTGTATGTGCGTGCGTGTGTGCGCGTGTGTGCGTGCGCCCGCGTGCGCCCGTGTGTGCCTGTGTGTGTGTGTGTGTGTGTGTGTGTCATTGACCTCTAAACTCTGAAATCATCCAACAAAGGCAAAGACCTTTTCTCCAATTCATTACTAGCTCGGAGTTCCTTGTTCTGACAGGTGTTCCAGGCGCCTCTTAGTCACGTGACCCAGAGCACAGGGACTATACTTTACCTACTCATCCTGCTGTGCTCATTACACAATGCCAGTCTCCTCTCTGCTCTTCCCACCCACTCCTCGTCCCTGACTATCAAAGACCCATAGCATCACAATGGTCTCGCCCCAGCACGAATCTGGATACAGTGCTCGCTCTGTGTTTAAGACCTTTTGCTGGCTGGGCCTGATGGTTCAGGCCTGTAATCCTGGCTACTTGGAAGGCTGAGGCAGGAAGCCCAAAGCCTGCTTGAAGTCTGGGAAAGTTGGTGAGTCTATCTCAAACCAATCCAAACAATACAAAGGGCTGGGGATGTAGATCAGGGAGAGGGCTCTGTCCGAGGATGAGAACCTGAGTTAACTCTCCAGTACTGGAAACCTTACTCTACACCAAACCAAGAAGACCTTCACCACGGGCTGAAAGCTGTGGCTTCCTATCCTCCACCTTTATATGTTGAAAGCTCCCTTCCATTGTGTGGGAATCTGAAGGTGGGGTCTGTGAGTCATGAGTGCACACCTTCAAATGGGATCCATGTCCTTAGATTGGAGACCCCAGAGAGCTTCCTCGCTCCACCCTCCTTTCTGCTGTGGGAGGACACACACGTGTGCTTGCACACACAGCTGCTCCTTCTGCATGCTGGGAAAGCTCGGGGTCACCCCCTACCAGTCCTCCAAGACCCCATAGAGCACTTCCGGGGAGCACCTCAGAGTCTCCGATACGTCAGGGTACCCGTCTGTGGCTTCTTGAAAAGAGTCCAGCTCTGTCCCCAGTACCCAAGCCAGAGCCACACCGAGAGCAGGTGCCCGGAAACACCCTAGTCCTTCCTAGCTGGTCCCATAGCACTGAGAAGATGAGCCTCACGGCCCAGCAGTCTCCCAAGGTTACATGGCTGTGACAGTGACCGCAGCACCTGCCCCCCCCCCCACTTCCTGACCTTCAGTATTTCCAGTGAGCCTTGGTGTTAGATGCTCATTGAACACTGTCCTCTGGGGGCTCGGGCACCTTGGCAGGCACCTTGCCCAGTTCTGCATTCAGTGGGAGACAGGGCAGCTCGGAGGGACAGGTGTCAGGCCCTGAACCCCTTTCTGTGGCTGTCAGCATCAGTGACTTTTCTAGGCTGTTTCTGAACAGGAAATCGGCTTCCTGGGGCCCAGCCTAACTTCCCCACCCTTCTGGGCGATCACAGCGGGCTCCACCCTCTGCAAACACTCATCTCACCACTTCTCCAAACTAGAACCTTCTAATGCCCCCAAAGGAGCAGTGTCTCCTCTTCCTTATCCCGGGAGCAGCGCCTTCCCCAACTCTTGTGGGCTGCTCTGTGTTGCCATTTCCTGTGGGCATGATTGTGTGCTCTGAAGCAGCGGGGAGTGCTGCCCTCTGGTGGTAGACATCGGGTGCATCACACCAGAAGCCAGAACCTCAAAGGAAGGCACATTGCTGTCACCCGAAGTCATGAAGAACCTTCCGACCACCGTCGTCGTGGTGATAAGGACCATGCTGGAAGCGCCTGAAGCCTCCTCACCAGCACAGCCCTGGCCTTGGGAGGTTGTAGAGAAGGGCTAGAACTGCTGTGAGCCTCAGTGCACAGGAAGAGCTTGATGGTACATGAAAACGAGGTTTGGAAAACGCAGCTGAGGCGCCCTCCGTCTTGGCTCACGTCTATCCACCCTGCTTAGCAGCAAATCCTGGGTGTGGCATGGGCCTATGCATCACCTATAGTAGGCCTTCTGCGTGCTCTTTTCGGTTGGCAATCCCGGTTAAGCCTCCCAGCTGCCCCGCCCTGTCTAGCCCCAGGCCTCACTCACCCTGAGGGAGATGAGTCGCAGCCGATAGTCCTCAGTGTGGACGACTTTCTGCACGGTGATCTCCACGCCATCGTGGACTACCTGCTCTTCCGGCCAATATTCCGTGCACTTCTGCAAGGACCGAGATCAGGTGGTGTTACTACACTCCGCTCCTCCGTCCACATTCTCTCCTTCTCCGCTGAGGCCCACAGTAGGCTTTGCTATTAGGGCACTGTGTCGAAACCTTGGCTTCATAACCCATGCCCTACTTCTCATTTCTGAGCCTCAGTTTCCCCATTTGAAGAACGACAATGGTACCCACTGGAGGACTTTGTATGTATACGGAGAGCAGAGTTTAACCTCAAGTGTTGTTCCTCACATGAAGCCTACCTCTGTTTTTCCGGACAGGCTCTCTTGTTGGCCTGGAACCCATCAAGTAACGGGACCGGCTGGCCTGTGAGCCTAGATCAGCCGGCCTCAGCTGCCCTAGCTCTGGGGTTATGGATGCATACCCCATGCCTGGATTTGTTTACGTAGGTGCTGTGGTTAAAACTCAGGCCCTCAGCTGAGCTATGTCCCCAGACTCCCCCTGAAGGACTTTTTAATGGGTGTTCAATGAGCTCCCACATCAGTGGCAGACTGGGAGGCAGCAGGCATGGCCACAGGAGGGGACGACGGAGAAGCCGGCTCCGGGCTGTGCTCTGCTCTATGGAGCCCGGAGCGGATGGATACCTTAACTCTCAACACCTCCCACTTCCTTCCGTTGACAGTTGAGGGCGCACCAGGCCCGTGAGACCCTTACAAAAGTTAATACGCAGATGGCAGATGAGATGCTTCCTATGGGGCAGAAAGCAGGGAGCATCGAGCAATGGCGCAGGGTCCCTACCTCGTTCATCTCCTCGATGTTGGTGATCATGACAATGATGGGTGTGTGTTCCTGCCACACCATGCGCCAGAAGTCGGCCACAGTGCTGACGATGGGCCCCTGTGTGGCGATGTACACCTTCTCCTTTCCACTGTAGCCCTGCAGCCAGTCAAGTCCAGCCTGTCAGGTGAGGGTCAGAGGCAGCACTCCCAGGGACCCGTCCCACACTTAGGCTCCCCCTTGGGGCTTGTACGGGCCACAGGAGCTTGGGGACAAGTCTGCAGGATAGATGGATCCCACCAGCTCAGGCCTGTCCTTTACAGGAAGGCTCTTGGGATGGAGCTACGTACCCGGATGTAGTTGGCATTGATATAGGAACTCAGAGGATCTTCAGGGTCTGGTGAAGCCAAACACACTCTGCTGTGAGGATCTGGGGTGGGAGACAGGTGAGGCTGTGAGCTGGGACTTCTGGTGCAGGGAGCAACTTGTCCGCCCTACTCCAGAGCGCCCGCCCGCATTTCCCGTGAGGTCATGGCCAGTATGCGCTCTCACAGGCAGTGCAGGGTTGCCATTCAGAGTCATTACCCGATGAGATGGCCTCCTTTATCTTGTGAAGACTGAAAGAGTTAACAGTAGGTGGTAAGACGGCTCAGAGGGTAAAGACAGTCGCTGCCAAGGCTGACAGCTTGAGTTGGAGTCCTGGGACTCATATGCTCGACACTCATATGCTGGAGGGGAGACTTGAACCTCACACATTGTCCTCAGGGCCCCCACACGTGTGCCTCATACAGGGTTATATGCACGTGTATACAAAATAAATATTATTAAAAAAGGGATAACGGGAAGAGGCAGAGCCCCAGGGGAGAGCGCAGGATAACTTATGGCAAGTGCTTGCTGCTGTCCTGAATCTCCAGCAGACAACGGGGATGGAGAAGAACCTAGGGGCGATGGCCATATGCCTCCCGTCTCCATCCCCCTGCCAGACCCACCTCTGCCTGGGCCATGGCAGGTGATACGGGGGTGGACAGTTCTTGTAGAGAGGGTATGGAAGTGGTGCAGGGGTGCGGAGGGGTAAGAGCAGGTAGGAGGGGCTTCTGCGTGGCCGGCAGAAGAGGGTGTCAGGCGGGCAGCTCTGCCTGGACTTCTTGGTTTTGCCTATCCAGGTTAGGTGCTGGGAGGACAGATGTGGGCACTGGCTGCCCTCTCGGGCCAGATAGCAGAGCTTTGTGATCAGGGAGTCACCGTGGTGACGGCAACGGTTGCTTTCTACAGCCCCCCCCACCCCCCCAGTTCACGCTGGCTCTGTGCCCTGCTTGTGAGGAGAGCCTTCGCGGTCAACAAGACAGGCATGGTCCCTCCCACAAGGAGGGACAGAGCGTTGGGCAGGGAGAGAAGGGGTGTATGGCCCGAGAGCTCTGGGGCTGGAGGGACAGAGGGGGTCGGTGGTTGGGCTAGGGTGGCCGTGTTTCCCAGGAGATGTGGTATTTTCGGACACGGAAGGACCAGGAGGGAAACCAGGGAGCACCTGTGTCTGACTCGGCACAGGCCAAGGCTGAGTGACATTGGTGAAAGATCAGAGTTGGAGAGGAGCCAGGTGCCACAGCCTCACATACCACGCTTAGAGAAGGTGGCACTGGCTGCGTTTAGGGAGGAAGGCGACATGAACATGATTCCATCTCTGCTGTGCCCCATCGTGAGAGAGGTGCAGGAAGGAATTGAAGCATAGGTCAGGGTTTGACTACCACAACCCAGTAACAAGTGTCGAGGTCACCTCGCCCGGGGACATTTATGCCACTGTACCGTATGCCAGTGGTGCTCATTAGAACTAGACAACGTGGAAGGCTTGAACCCCCCCTCCCCCAAAATCATTTGGTAGTAAGGATGGAAGGGAGAGGGGGCCAGATCTAGAGATTCAGCCATCATTCATTCAGAAAGGTGCAGGCTGCTCATACTCTTTGGAGCTTAAGGTGCCGAAGGGGACAGTCATGGCGTCCTGCTGGGTCAGCGCTCACCCCGGGGCTGTCCACAGAGCTGTTTCTTTTGCTTGACACCATGCTCTGTGCACAGAACCCAAATTTTCAGTCCCTGGGATGGGGCTTAGGAAATGTGTTCAATCAACAATAGAAGAAATCTCAGGGGATCCCCCCACCCTGGATCCCAGAGGCTGCCTCTCCAGAGCCTTCTATGACCTTTGCCCTCCCTGCTCCCCGTCTAGTCTTTTACACATCAGGGTCAGCTCTGCCCCTCTGTGCGACATTCCATGTTGGGTTTGGGGGGCCTGGAGGTTGAGGGCATGGTTGAAGGAGCTGGGAGCCTGCGAGCGATCCAGCAGGACCACATGGACTCTGGCTGACTCCAGTGGACATTCTAAGGAGCCAGGAAACCCTACCTGGACCCCTGCCTGCAGGGGGAACAGGAACAGGGAGGATAAGTTGAGAGAAGGGGGTGAGCAGCCCCACGAAGGCACCCTGGCCTTAAATGGTGCTTTGTTTAAACGTAACTACCTAGAGTCTGTGTAACCATAGCAACCACAAAGTCGATATTGTAAAAGTTAAAAATAAGTCATGACATCTTACATGCTGTTGGAGACGCTGATGGCAAGCTGCTTTTTAAGGGCTCACTACTCTACAGACTGGCTGGGGTAGGTTTTTTTTTGGGGGGCTCCATTTTCAACAACTCACCCCCTCCTTCTGAGCTAGCCCCCAGAGGACCTTGATCAAAACAACCTGACGATGGATGGCGTCATGGGATGGAATGGGCACAGCAGGTCACCTGGCCTGACCATGTCCAAAGGAGACGAGCCCTGCTCAGGCCTTGCTCTCTGGGTAGCCTCACTTGGACAGATCCCTACAGGATGAAAGTACCTCATTCCCTCTGGGAGGTGGCTCTGCTGACAGTCAGGCTCAGAGAACACAGTTGACAGAAGAGCCTGATTCGGAGGCCACAGAGGCCCAGGTTTAGAACAGGTCTTTGTGTATGTACCAGCTGTGTGGCTGTGGGTAAGCCACTTACCTTCTCGGAGCCTTCGATGCCCTCTTAAAACATACCCACTCGGAAGAGAAAGGGCCCCTCACTGCCTTGGAGCTGCCTTTTCTCTCCGTGCTTCTACAGAGCTTAAGCCACTAGTCAGGGAGGATAAGGGTCCAGGGCCAGAAAGGGAGTCCGTCTCCGCCCTCGTCTTCTCCTCCTTGCTTGGCCTTGCCTCCGTACCATCTCCTCTGATGATGGTCGGTCATCTCTGGAGGCCTGCCTCTGGACTTGAGGCCTTCCTGGATGACAGGGCCCACTCCCCTCCCCACCCGGGGGCAGCAGACACTCACTGGGAAGGATGGTTCTGTACCGATTCTTCCGCACCAGCCCTGGGATGTCGTACTCTTTTGGATCCACGAAGTTCATGGGGATTTCCTACATGAGGAAGACATGGGGTTGTGGGTAGCTTCAAGGCTGGTTTCCCTAGAAGTCCAAATTCAGGGGCTGCTTGCCTCCAGCTGCCACTTCAGGGGCTGTCTTGAGTTCATGCATTCATTCGACAAGCATTTGCTATTGAGTGGGTTAGCGTGCGCGTGCGCGCGCACACACACACACACAGACACACACACACACACACACACACATTTAGAAGAGTTACTGGCATATGCCAAGTGCATAAAATAAATAACAGCAATTGTCTGTTGAGTGCCAGCTTGGTTTGAGATAGACGTTCCATAAAAGGCCAAACGAAAATGAGCAAGACCTTGCCAATCACCCTTTCCTTCCTGGCTCTCTGTGCAGCAGCTCTGGGGATGTGTGTGCCTGCCTCCGTCACCCTCACCTTGGGCTTCTGTTTGTGATGTTCACTTTTGGTAATACTTGATACACCCTCGTCTCTTCTACACACCCTGTTTCTCTGAGGTCACTTCCTCTAAGAACTTTCCCTCATTGCCCAGTTTTTAGCTGCTTCTCATTCCGTAAGGCTGTTTGTCACTTCTAAGCAGCTCCATGTCTGATGGGCACCTTGGCTTGTGAGGTCTCTTTGGATCCAGCCTCCCTTTATCTGCAGTGGGGTTTGCTTCTCTTGTCCCCTTAGGGAGGATGGACCTAGAGCCTTGTGCATTCTGGGCAAGTACCCAACACTGAGCTAAGGTCCTCGCTCGCTTCTCACCTGACTTTTAAATTCTGAGGCAGCCTCGGTAGGTTGCTCGCTAACCCTTAACTCACTGTGTGGCCAAGCCAGGCCTTGAGCTTAGGTTCTTCCTGACATGGATTTCTTTGATTTGGTATTCTCAGCCATACCTTCCTCCTGAGCCCAGGCCCACAAGGGGGGGGGTGTGCGTTCATGGCCCCATGCTTGCCAAGAGTCCTAGTTTCAGCCCGCACCTCCAAATTGGCTCAGACTCTTAGATTCCCTTCAGCTCTACCCCTCAGCCATGGCCTCTGGGATACCTCCCCAGGGATGCCACACTATGCTCTCCTGCCTAATCTGTCTGCACACTTTAGCACCTGGCGGTACAGCTCACCGTTTCTGGATATACTAGACGGTCTTTGCCCAATGCGGATGGAGATACCTTCTAGGGCTCTTGTGAGAATCAAAATAAATATGAATTTAAAAAAAAAATCCCACAACACACAGCTGCAGAACTGCCCGTAGAGAGGGTGAACATACTGTGTTCCTTCCCCCCTGGCAAATCCGATGCTATCTACCGAGCAGGAAGGGACATGGAGGACTATTTTCACAGGGAGAGGATGATGGTGGGAGCTGAGAGCCGGGAGCTGGGGTGATTGATGGAGGAAGGCTTTCTAGGGACACTGAGGTAGGAAGGATGTGAGGGAGGTACCGGTCACCCGGCCTGCTGGTGTGGGGGTGGAGCTCAAGGCTGGAGAAGAAAGTTAGTGCCTGCCTTATGGGTTTTCTGCAGGAGTAGGCAAGCTCTGGAGCTCTTGGTGCACTGAGTCCAAGCAGCACAGTGGATAGCTACCTGACTGGTGGGTTCCATGGGAAAGTGGGTTGCTGGCCTTCAGTTCCTCCCTTCCCCCTCTTGGGGCACTTTTATTAACTATGGCAGTGGTGACACACACCTTTAATCCCCCCACTGGGGAGGCAGAGGCAGGCAGTTTTTTTTTTTTTTTTTTTTTTTGAGTTCAAGGCCAGCCTGGTCTACATACAGATTGAATTCCAGGACAGCCAGAGGACTATACACAGAGAAACCCTGTCTTGGCCCTCCCCTCCCCCAAATGGGAAAAGGCCAACAAGACCCCCACGGCAGTGGAGTTTGCTGTTCTGAATCTCACTTCAGACTTACCTTTTGGTGACAATACAGGGCACACATTATTATGGCCACACCTTGGCTGGCTAAGTACTCTTGGCAGGAGATCTGGACTGTTACTTATGGGGCCCTTCTAAATCCAGCACATGTCTTGTCAGACAGAGGTTTGGGAAAGGACTTAGGGCCTGAGCTTGAAACACAGGGGACAAGAGCTCAGGGACAAACATCTTTGATGGTATCAGGCAGAGTAGGGTGGGAAGACAGGAGAGGCTTTCTTTTTCCTATGAGGATTGACCAAGCTTTGTGTACGCTGCTGCTAGCCGCACGTTCTGCCCCTGGGCCGCACCAGCAGCAGGAGGAGGTTGCTTTCTGTGGCTTCCAGAGCACAGTCTTCCCATCCGATCCGGAAGTACCACTGTCTGCCTGATGTATGGTATCGCCCCCCCTAACCCCTGCAAAGACCCTGTCACTTGTCTGAATTTCCAGATGCTAGGAGAGATGGCATGGGGTTGCCAGTCTATTCCCTGTATGGGTTGGTGTACTCTGGAGTACTGACTGGCCAGGTGGCGGGCCGTTAGGCATGGGAAGGTGGGTGGCCACTTCAGGGGACTCACAAAGAATTCTGCCTGCAGCAAGAAGGGATCCAGGGCCTTTTCGTGCAGCTCCTCGGCTCTGAGGACTCGGGAGGCACTGAGCAGGTACTCGTGGGCCGACTCCTCTCGGGGGGACACCAGGTAGCCGAAACCCTCCTCATTGCAGCCAGGGGTACACATGTCCAGGGTCAAGGAGACATTGGAGCCCCTCCTGCAAGGGTCATAGAGGAAGATATGAGCCTTGGCCATGAAACAGAGGAAGAAGGGTGGTCTAAGGAGAGCGGGGTGGGCTCCAGGAAGAGGGATGTGACAAGAACCTACCCTAAGGAGCACATGCTCTTGCCTACCCTCTGTCCACCCCTTCCCACAGTGGGGTGAAGGCCCACGTTTCAAAAGCTTAACCCCTCATGGGCCTCTCCTGGACTCCGTTGTGGAAGGAGGCCGATAGGGGACATACATGCTAAGGTGAACCTCCGGGCCAAGGGCACAGCTTCAGACTCCAGCATCACAGTTCTAGAATGAGGTTGTCATGGCATTAAGTGCACCTCAGCTAGGAGAGGCCAGGGCCCTCTGCACCCAGGGAAGGAGGGAGTTCAAAGGCAGCCAGTAGCAGCAAGGGCCAACTTCATCATGCTCAGTGCCTCAAGCTTTAGGACAGGAGGGACCCTCACTGCGTAGAAAGGGACACTGAGTTTCGGGAGGGCGGTAGCATTGTCCAGGATTTCACTATGATGAAGTGGCAGAGCCAAAAAAAAATATTGTCTAGGTTTCCCGAGTCCTCATCCTGCATTTTCTGTGACATCCTCTGTATACTTCGAACCGTGTAAGCTTGCTTACCCAGCCCTAAACTCAGGCTCCCTACCTCCCAAAACTTGCTCATGGGGGCACTCTAGGGAAAGAGAGGTTTGGGGAAATGGCACCTACTGGCCCTTGGTCACGTTACAAGGAACACCATTAAGGGAAAGGCCCCGGCGAGCACTATATAAGGAAACCAACCCCGACTCCCTCGAGCCAAGCAGAGTATGGGTGTGCACGTGTGCATTCCTGCACGTGCCTGTGTGTGCCCGGGGAGGAACCGTACGTACTTTTGGGCATTCATCTTGAAGTACCCCGCTCAGAGTGCGCATGCCTGTGTCTACACACACCAAGGGGCGAGGCTAACCCTGTGCTCCAAACCAGGAGCTCCCTTCTAATGGGAGCTGAGAATCTGTGACCCCCACTCCGTTACCCCCCCCCCGCCCCGCAGCCCACCCCCCTCTACCCCTCCCACCTCTCCTGCAGACCCACGGACTTGACAGTCAACGAGGTGGGGTCAGTCTCAGGCTTGATGTCCATCACACAGTCAAACACAGGTGTCTCGGGCACCGCATCCAGGTCCAGGAAGTCATCCTCTACCTTCTCCTCCATCCACTCCGAATAGGTGAAGGAGGGCTGGCGGCTCACTGATTGGCGCCTGTCCTCTGGGGGCACTGGTGCGGGTAGCTCTGGGGGTGCCTTGAGGAGGTGCCACACCTGCCCAGGAGTTTACAGCATCGTGGGCCTGGGGTCACGCTCGCTGCCTGCTGGATTCATGGCGTACCCGAGGGACTGAGCTGTCTGATGCTATAACCACATTCTCCCGGGTCCCAGATGTCAGGTTCTGCCCCCTCCCCCCACTCTCCCTTCTCTGGCCCCATTTTCTAGTGGGTTTAATCCCTCTGGGTGGGGACCGGAGGTTCTTTCTGCCTCAGCCCTTTCTCTCAGCCCCGATCACATCTACAAAGGAGCTTTAAGTAGGCATGCTGCCAAAGGAGACAAGCCTGTCTTTGCCCCATTCGGAGCCCGGGTTAGCCTGCCTGGGTTGGGGATCAGATGATTCTAGACGGAAGCGGGACCTTCTGGAGAGGGAAGGATGCTCTGAGGCTGAAGACAAGGAGGTACCTTACCAGGTTGGTGATGATGACCAGGCCCACAGTTAGGGAGATGAACAGCAGACTTGGGATCCCCCAGCTCCCAGAACCCAGCCAGGCCTGGGGAACGTCAGACAAACTGGTCAATGTCCTCAGGGGTTGGGGGAGGGCAATGTTCTTATCTATTTCAAAAGTAACGAGAAAACCCATCCTGGGTCTAGATGGGATGCACACACATGGCCCTCTGGGTTCTTAGAAACATCTCTTGAACTTAGAGGTGTCCCAGCCAGGAGTAGCGAGGGAGGGATGGGAAGCGTCAGCTTACCCCACTCCACCCACTGTTCTAGGGGTCCCCCAGAGTTTACTCACCACAGGTCCCAGATGGTTCAACAGTGTGAGCGAGGAGGAGATGAGGTCTGTGGTGTCCTGCAGCCACGAGTGGCCATGGCCACTGAGCCAGAGCACCCCACAGGCGAGCTGGGGCAGTCAGGGGGCAGACTGAGCATATAGTTGCAGACCTTTGCCCCTATCTTGCCCTGCGAAGCTTTCTTCAGCCCCAAGGCTAATCACAGGTGACTGGGACAGAGCCCCTCCCACAGGAGACCCCACAGGCCCACACAGAAGAGAAGTCTCCCAGAGAGGCCTTCTTAGACGGCAAGTCCTCAGAGGGAACTCTGTAAGACCAGGGCTTGGGGACTGGGGAGCTTGTCTTCTTAGTTAGGGGGTTAGGGTTGTCAGAACGTGAGACTGTAGCTCAGAACTCCAGCCTTCCCTTTACTCCAGTCGGCAGACTTGGAGTAACCGAGGGCCACCGGAAAGGCACCTGTCCCTCAGCCTCCCCAGGCAGCCATCTTGGGAAGAAGTAGCAGGCTGTCCCTCAACCCACCCTCTCTTCAGGCCCTAGTGAGGCCTGTGACATCCTTACCAGGAACTGAGAGGCAGCAAACAGGCACAGGCTGCTTCTGACAGTGAGGGAGTAGCTCCGGGAGCCTTGAGGTGGCAGCTTCTGAGCTGGCTCAGAGGGCGGCGGCGAGGGTGGCGGGGGTGGTGGCATCTCCCTCTGCTGACTGGGGAGCCCTTCAGCCTCGTCCGGTGCTGCCATCTCTACCGGCTGGGGGAACCCTGCAGAAGATGGGACGGGGGGGGGGTTGGTAACTCTGGCCTCTGTCTGAGCGGGGGACTCGGCCAGCCTGTGGAGGTCTGGCTCTGCTCAGGGTTGCTGTGGCTTCCTCTCAGTCCTGACTCCGTCTGCGAGGTCCCACTCCCAGCAGTCACCCAAGATTAGCAAAGCAATATTCACCTACCTTCGTCAGAAAGAGCTACGTGTGGGTGGACAAATTATTTCTCTTTTATTTCTGCAGTAGGGAGTTAAAATGGCAGGGGGGGGGGGTTTCAGAGTTAATACCGTTGTATTTACGCAGCTTCATTCTTTTCCGTTTCGTAAGGAAACAAAAACAACTACCTCAAACTCAATTAAAAAAATGCAAGGGGAAAAAAAAAAAAAAAAAAAAAAAAAAAAAAAAAAAAAAAAAAAAAAAGAACACAGCTTAAGCAGGGCCATGACCCCGAACAACCCACCCACGCCTGCTCTCCAGACTCTGTCTCTTGTGATGCGTACCCCAAGTGAGACAGACTGAAGTCAGGCTGACCATGGCCGTGCATTTCCCGCACTTTGAGACCCCTACACCAACTGGGGAAGGGAAGTCAGGGCAGCATGGAAGAAAATTTACTGAGAAGAATAGGCAGTGGCTACCTGGGGTTCAGTTAGTTCTAATACTGGCTACAATTGCCACCACTCGGGGCGCTTGGCTTGTTCTTCGAACATCTGAAAGATGGGGGTGGGGTTCAAGACCAGTCTTTCCCTTTTAAGAAAAATGAATGTTTTTAGTTATGCACCGTTGTATGTATCTGGATGTGTGGGTTTTACACACGTGAGGGAAGGTGCCCACGAAGCCTGAGGAGCTAGGTGGTCTCTAAAAGAAACATTGTTTATGCAGAGCATGCGTGCAAGTGCCTCAGCCACAGGCTTAACTTTCCAGGCAGAGGCTCTCTGTGTTGCTGTGTTGCAGCTGGTTCTTCTTCCTGTCTCTGTCTCCCTCCTCCCCTTAGAAAGGCTGGGGTTACGTGCGCAAGACGCTGCCCCGTTCAGTTTTCCCCTGTGGGTTCTGGGATTTGAACTCAGGCTGTCATAGTCACCCTTTTGGTTCAGTTCCTTCCTTCCTTCCTTCCTTCCTTCCTTCCTTCCTTCCTTCCTTCCTTCCTTCCTTCCTCCCTCCTCCCTCCCTCCCTCCCTCCCCTCCTTTTTTCTTTTCTTTTCCTTTGAGGCAAGGCATCATGGAACCCCAGACTCACTATGTGGCTGAGGCTGTCTTTGAACTTGTGATCACCGCCCCTCACCTCTGGAGTGTTGTGATTACAGGCGAGAGCATCACCAAACTTAGTTTATGTGGGGCTGGGGGTCAAGCCTAGGGCCTGGGTTGAGCGAGACGACCACTTTACCAATTGAATCTTCAGTCCACCCCTGTTTTTCTAATTGAGCTTTATGGGGCTCAGGCACAGCACAGGCTGTCACCGGAGCGCCTTTGCCGGGTGTCTTGGAGATGCCTTCTTAAAATCACAGGCCCCTTACTGACCCTGCGGACCCCAGATGGCTCCCTGCTGCGATGTTCGAGCCACATCCCTGTAGCTCCCCAGGTGAGCTGCTACTGTACTGTGCCTATTATTCCCTCTACTAGACTAGCCCTCCAGTACTCTCCCCCTCCCTGCCTCTGCATATGTCACCTAGGAAACCCTATTCATCGTGTGGTTGCCAATTTAATGTCACCAGAGCTAGGTTCTGCCCCATTACCCATGCCACTCCTTCATACTACTATCCACAGCAAGATACCTCGGCATGGCTCTGCTCTGAGGGATGATGGCGCGCACTAATTCTTCACACCATCCCTAGGAAGTTGACATCGACATCATGACCCTCCCCCTCCCCCATTTTTACAAAAGGGGAATGGGAGACAGAGGGCCAAGAGGTTGTGTTTTCCCCCCAAGGTGGCCTACTATGGTTTGTAGGATGTCTCTGACGCTAGTCATCTACAAGTCCCTGAAGGTGGCATCAGTGTGATTTCTGGGATTGTCTATAGCGAGCAACACATGTTTGTTGGCGAGTAGGTTCTGATACATATTAATTGGGTGAGTGCCTGATGGAGAAGTGATATTGTTTTTGTTGGTATGTTTGAGACAACTGTAACTGGCTGACTTCCGAGCTCAGAGATCGGCCTGTCTCTGCCTCTTAAGTGCTGGGATCAAAGGGGGGCATTAGCCTGCCTGGCTCCTCTTCCTGCTTTTCCTCTTCTTCTTGCACTCAACGGGGATGGGGGGGGGTGGGATATACACTTTGCAAAGATGCTATGAAGACTTTAGATACTAGAGAAAAAAAAAAAACACTGTATGAGTCCTGATACTTCGTGGGTGCCTGATACAATTGTTGCTTTGGAATGAATGTGCACAGGTGATGAACTGGAGTGCTAGTAGAGTCTAGGAGGGAAGGATGGGGAGGTCACCATGGGGGCACAGCGGTGGGCACCAAGTTCAGCTTGAAGCGGGGGGGGGGCAAGGAGAGAAAGGGAAGGCAGCTGCTAGGAGCTGGACTGTGTGGGAAGCCCATTCCCACCCCTGTAGGGGGCGCCCATGCACACATGGACAGGGATGCTACGTAGGGCCGGGTCGGGGTGGGTGGGGTGCCACTGGCTCCTCTGTCTCAGCTTGGGCTGCAGACCCTGAGCGTTTGTTTTCTTCTCTTCCTTGGGCATTTCCTTATGCACACACACAGAGGCTTGAACTGTTCTTGTCTGTTGCTAACCTCAGAGGGAAGCAGCGTTGAACTCATGTAGATTGGGACTTTGCTGCTTTTTCATTTTTTAAAATTATAGGCTTCCTCCAACCTAATCTGTGGCTTATCTGTGCTCATTTTGATACTGCATTCCCCCCCCCCTCCCAAAGTTCTGAATCAAATTTGTGCTTCAGGAAGGTGACTGACATTTATCCTGTGGCTTTGCCCTCAGGGTTAACCCGTACTCCAGTCTGAGAAGCAAGAAACTTGCCTGCAATAAAGTATCACGCAACCATTATATTGCGATTCTGTGGATGAGCATTTAATGACACGGAAAGAAAGTTCGGAAATTTGGAGTGTGAAAGGCGAGGCCATGACACAGTATGATCTTATCAGCTTTAACATTTAAGAAAACTATAGATGTGCTTAGGAGAAGACGGAGCAGGGCAAAGATAATGACGAGTAGGCACTATAAGCAAGCAGGTAATATGATGATCTGACGCACAGTAAGTGTTTAATAAATGTACATGCTAAATGGAAAGAAAACAAGCCAGGTGTTAGCAACAACTTTTATTTATTGAAAAAGGGCATCACCGTGTAACCCTGTCTGCTTAGAACTCTCTAAGGAGACTAGGCCGGCCTTGAACTCACAGAGATTCATTCGCCTCTGCCTGCTAAGTGCTTAGATCAAAGCTATGTGCCACCATGCCATTCATGGGGGGGAGGGTTAGTGAGAGGAGAGGCGATTTTATTTATATATCTTAAATTCCCTGCAATATGTATCATATACAGACACATATATATTCAGGGTATACATATTCTCTCTTTATATATATATATGTATATATATATATTTGTAGCAATAAAGCTATTCTTAAAAAACGAGATAAGAGCTCTGCATTCAGGTGTTATGGATCTTAAGTTTCAGGCCCTGACTCCACCTGTCATTCTTACAATCGTAGGATTTGGAGCCCGATTGTGCACGTAGCTCTGAGAGAGTGGCCCGGCATGGCAGCCACTCAGAAGGCAAGCCAGCCACTCTGAGAACCTGTGCTCATTACATTTCATACAGGAGATGGCAGCTTAACTGCATGTAAATGGTGTGGCTCAGAGGGAAATGCTGGCTGATGGGGCCCTGATTCAAGGGCTCAGAGACAAAGGTGGATGCTTTGCACACCGTTTTTAATTCAGACCGGGTCTCACGTGTTACAGGTCGCCTCCAAACTTACCACGTGGCTGAGGATAAACCTGAACCAGCTCCTACCTCTCAAGGGCTGGGATGATAGACATGCACCACCGCACCTGATTTTATACGGCGATGGGAATCAAGTACAGGTCTGTGTGCGTTCTAGGCAGGCATTCTGCAACTGAGCTCTAGATCAAGGCTCTGCGTTTAAAGGAAAAATCCCTGAGGTCCTGATGAGTCAAAAGATAAAACTTACCAAGCACCAGGCAGATATATATCTTTTGGAGCTGAGCTTATTTAAAATAATTTTCTGGGGCCAGCTAGATGACTCAGTGGCTTAAGGTCCTTGCCACAAAACCTGGTGACCTGAGTTTGGTTCCTGGAACCCACATGAAGTTGGAAGGACAGAATCAATTTGACAAAGTTATCCTCTGATCTCTACATGTGTCATGGCATGTGTGACCTTCTCAATATCACACACACACACACACACTAATGATAATATGAAATTTAAAAACTTGGGGACCAGAAAGATGGCTCAGTACTAAGGATACTTGCTACTCTTTCCTGGGACCTACCTTAGGAGGCTCACAACTCCCTGTAATTCTAGCTGCGGGGATCTGATACCTACTTCTGGCTTCTGCAGGCACCACATGAGTGAATGTTAATACACCACACACACACACACACACACACACACAATAAAAAAAAATAAAGTCTTATCCAGGCAGTGGTGGCACACACCTTTAGTCCCAGCACCCAGGAGGCAGAAGCAGGTGGATCTCTGTGAATTTGAGAGCATCCTGGTTGTCTACAAAGATGGCCAGACCTGCTATACAGAGAAACTATGTCTGAAAAAACCAAAACCAAGACCAAAACAAAACAAAAAACCCCGAAAATTTTTAAAATT